AACCAAATTGCCTAGATTCAATTCCTGGTTTGGCCATTGACTGGAAGACTTTGTGTAAGTCCCTTAATCTCTTTGGGACTCCACTTCCTCATCTGTGAAATGAGATAATACTCACGTTGTATGATTATTTTGAGGCTTAAATGAGTTAATACATGTAGAGTACTTAGAACAAAACCTGGTACATACTAAATACTGTTTAAATGTATCATAGAAACCAATAAAATCCAGTAAAATCTATCAGTAGTAACTCTGCCATAGAACAGAAAAATTTTCTCTTGAATCTTGACCTCAAAACCCTCATGACCATGAAACCATAAAAGCTAAATAAGCATTTTCTTTAAGAGATCATTAAACCATTCTTTTTATTTGAAGGGGGAAGGGAGGAATGTACAGTTTTTCTTTTCCCATTTCTTCATATGATTTTAAGAAGTAACTAGTAAATCACTAAGAGAGGTCTGAAAAATGTAACTTTAGTAAAAAGTAGTCATAACTCCTACCCCTGCTCTTAACCCAGCCCCAAGGATTCTGGAACTTACTAATATCTAGGCTCAACCAACCCTTCTAAATAAAAGAAAAAACATACTAAATGTTAGTCAAGAGCTGTGCCCCAAGGTAACAATCAAATTGAACAATTTAAGTGGCACGCCATGCCATGCCATGCCATGGAGAATAAATACACAACTGAAGATTAAAGGAAGACCTTTTTGTTAATCCCTGTGTGGTATGATCTACTGCTTGGTTTTGGGTCTTACAGAATAAAAATCTACTTCAGCAAATAAGTTTTTGAAGACTCAAAAGAAGTAATTGATTTTGAGGGTTACCAGGGAGTAGAATGTGAATGAACTTGAATTTCTATTCAAAATGAATAAAGCCCCAGAACAAAGTCTGACTTAGTCCACTGTTATATTTGCTTAAGGGTGAAAGGTTTGCCTCTAATAGTGTGGAGAGACCATTGAGAGCTAATGAAAGAGCCCCCAGCAGTGCCTGGTATATTACCATGTGACAGTAAGTGCCACCACTGGATCCAGGAGATCTCTGACTTTCACCAGAAGCTCCACGAGAGAGCTTAAATTAAAGTTGCAGATTGAACATACCAAATGTGAAAAGTTAAGATCCGAAATGCTCTAAATCTGAAACTTTTTGAATACCAACCTGATGCTTAAAGAAATGCTCATTGGAGCATTTTAGATTTTGGGTGTTCGGTTTAGGGATGCTCAAACCATAAGTATAATGTGAATATTAAAAAAAAAAAACCCAAGCACTTCTTGTCCCAAGCATTTTTGATAAGGGCTACTCAACATGTGCCATATACTGTGTAACTTTTTCTTCCATGGTGGTGGCACACTTTTGGCTCTTAAACCAACTTACATTGCTTCTTACTAAGATGCCCCTAAAGACTCTAAAAGAGAGACAGCCATTTTGTTTACCCATTAGGGTAGTCCAGAGTCCTTGACACTCTGGGCTCACCATTCTGAGCCTGGGCAGGTCGACAAGGGTGGGGCCCCAAGGCCTGGGCAGTGCTAGCATTATTGCTGTTTTTTCTAGGGGGATGAGGTTTTGCAGGGGAGACCTGTTTCTTTAGGTCTTGTGACTGTTTTAAAACTCTTCCCTTTATATTAGGGCCTCATCCCACTAAAATAGATTTGCTTTCCAGATTCTGAATTCCCTTCATGTGAAATAGTGCATGGTGGTCTGACTAGTGGTTATGAGACAAAAGACAGATTTTTTTCTAACTTTAATATTTTATGTGTCCTTTCTCTTTCCATTTTTCTTATAACTTCCTCATCTCTCTTTTCAGTTCTGGTATTATTTAGTGTTTCTGTAGGACGTTACAGCTGAGTTCCCTGTGACCATTTTTAGTAGTTACACAACAAATCATGTACAGAGCATGAGCCAGCACTTAGCCAAATAATGAAATGGAAGAACTCTGCCAAACTCAGCATCATAATTTCCCTTAATACAACTCTACTGTGTCATTTAGTTTGGTCTCTTTTTAAAACTTGAGCCTCCATCACGCTATTTTAGGGAAGGGTACTACAAGGTCTATTGCATAAATGATTTGACTTGCAATTGAACTAAGAATACAATGAACCATTTCCTAGAGTTATTTTTTAGAAGAATGAGAAAGGGCTTATTTGAAAAAAAAAAAAAGTGTTTTCTGAATATAACTATCTTGGGTCTAAAATTTTTGCTCATTTCCTAAAGTCCTTTACCACTTTGGAACTGCTTTGTATTTTGTAGAACAGGTTTTGTATTCTAATATAGAAATTCTTAACTTGCCTTGCTACCTAAATTCAAATGCATTCCAGAATAATCGCTGGCACATAGTAGGTGTTCAGTAACTATTTGTTGACCCCATAGCTTTCTACATTTCTTCTTACTAGGGCATTGTCTCCTGTTAAGCATAACATTCAACAAATGTCACGTGCTATTCAGTGATTTTTTTTCATTTCGTAGCCACTTGCATAACTTTTACCTCTTTAAAATCTAGCCATTTTGCAGTCTCATCAATGTGGAACACAACTAAAACTAAAGTAGAAAATAACCAGTGCCTAAGATTACAGTTTCCTGTCATCTGACAGGGAAACATGATACATCTGGGAAATCTTTTCATCACAAATGCTTGATAAGGTACAGTATTGGAATCCAATGTTGTGAGGTGACTGTCAGCAAGTTGCTTAATCTCTTTGGCTTTGGCTTTGGTTTTCTTATCTATCAAATGTGAGAGCAACACTCAGTGATCCTATGGTCCCTTCCAACTCTAAGACTTCTGTGATCCTATGCTTCTCAAGCCACCTCCCCCCTCCAGTCCTGTTTGCTCCTTTATAAAAGGAGAGGGAGATATGTAGGGAAGTCTTAACAATCTGTGACTTTAAAGGAATTAACTTTTAGCTGTCCAGCAAATCTGGCTATCCAGAAAAGGCCATTCCTCCAGGGTATATTGGTTAGCCAAAATTTTACTGTACATTAATACATAGTTAGGACTAATTTAGTGCCTAGGAAAACATTTGGGAATGGTTAAAACTGTGGAAAAATCTTAATTCTTGGTAGGGAATGTTGACTTTAGTGTATACAATTACCATTTTATTGTTAACACGTATTCCCCCCTTTTAGGCTAGAGCCTTGTTTAGGATGAGGAGAATGGATGTGCGCATGCATCACATAGGAGCCTGATAGTTATTTTTTCTCCTGACACTACTAATCCCCTGTTCCTGTTCCTAAGGGTACTGCTGATAAGTGATATCCAAAGTAACACTCCAGAGCAGGTGAAGTGCATTGCCGGGCTGCCCTGCATCCCAGCATCTGTTCCCTGTTGTGGTATCTGCCTCCAAAAGTCTATGTTTGCAGAACTGGTGGGTACTTATACAGAAGAATGCACTAATCCTCTGATATTGACTCCAAAAGAGGAGGGTGGGGCAGAAAGAATGAGGAGACAGGAACTTTTAATTAGCTGCTAGAATGCTATGCCTAGCCCCAATCCTTTCTAAGCATTGAAGAAAACAAGTGACCAGATGGAATCAGCTCTTCTATACCTCAAATAATTTCACCTTATAAAACTAGATGAAATGAAGTCCCATTTCTCTGGAGAGGACGGCTAGCCCAATCTGACTTGAGTAATGTTTCCGTCATTCTTCCTTTCCTTCCTCACGAACTTCCAGTCATAGCCCCATGTGTACTGCCATATGGTGTCCCAATTTGTTTCCTTCCTTCCCTGCTTGCCTGCCTCCCTCCCTCCCTCCCTCCCTTCCTTCCTTCCTTCCTTCCTTCCTTCCTTCCTTCCTTCCTTCCTTCATCTCACTCTGTCACACAGTCTGGAGTGCAGTGGTAAGATCTCGGCTCACTGCAACCTCCATCTCCCAGCTTCAAGCAATTCTTCTGCCTCAGCCTTTTGAGTAGCTGGGACTACAGGCACACGCCACCATGCCCGGCTAATTTTTGTATTTTTAGTAGAGATGGGGGTTTCACCATACTGGCCAGGCTGGTCTCGAACTCCTGACCTCGTGATCTGCCAGCCTTGGCCTCCCAAAGTGCTGGGATTACAAGCGTGAGCCACTGCACCCGGCAGCTGGTGTCCCAGTTTCTGCTTGATGTTTAAGCCCCTCTAAATTCTGGCCACACACATACTCCTGTGCACCTGACCTTATTTCCCACAATTTCCCAACCCCATTCTGAGATGCAGTGATACGTCCTGTACTCTCCTACAGGTTTTGTTCATTTCATTGAACTTACTTAGGATGCTCTCCCTTTGTTTGACCACTTAAGTCCAGCCCTTGTCTTGAAAATTTAACCAAAGCCCCACCTCTTTCATCAAGTGTTCCATGAATACTCTGTGCTTTAGTACTCCCAAGCCTTGGAAAGCCTTCACATACCCCCCAAGTTTAAGATTACTCATATTCTGCCCGGTAGAATATGTTAACTTTGCCTTCTGCACAGCTCTTGGCACAGAACAGAAGACACCGTAGATATCCTTCTAAACCTTGATTTGGGGTTAGGGTTCAAAGGACAGCCTTGTAGTCAATGTGATTCAGAAGAAGATGTGCTTCTGTTCCAGTCTGGCAAAGACAAACACTGATGGTTGAGGCTATTAGCAGGGCGTGCATGGTGGGCACATGAAGGTAGTCTCCTCGACCGCATTTCATGGCTCACACTGGATAGTTATTTGTAAAAGGATTTTGAGATATTCGAGCAATTTATGTGTGTGAGAGAGAGACTCCAGGAGGGAAGGGGGTGTGGGGGAGGAATGGGTGTTTACAGGGTGAGAGTTGGTGTGCCTTGTTTGTTTTGGGTCATGTGATGTTCATCTCCCTCCTCTGCCCTGTCCCAGCACGTATCTTTTATCTAATCTACGTCTTCAGGAGGCAGTCCAGGCTTACTAATTGTGATCAATTACAACTCATTCTTAAGTTAATGGCCAAGTCTTCTGTGTCAGTGTGATAGAAGCAATTTCTGTCTCTATTTTAGCCCCACCACTACTGTCTTTTTTTCTTTTCACGTATTAGGTAAACCCCACAGCCCAGTGTACCCATGCCCTGTTGAAGATGATCTACTGCTCCCACTGCCGGGGTCTCGTGACTGTGAAGCCATGTTACAACTACTGCTCAAACATCATGAGAGGCTGTTTGGCCAACCAAGGGGATCTCGATTTTGAATGGAACAATTTCATAGGTGAGCAAGTGATTAACATATTTGCGTTGCTAGAGATAGCTTAGCTTCCAGTCACAAGGAATGTTGTAATTGGCAGCTATGAAATTTGTTTGTTTTAGTGTTAGTTATTTAGTGTTTGTCAGAATCCTGACTATGTAGATCATACTCAACTACTTTGAGTATAGTAAAAACATTACTACAAGTGAATATTCCCTTGAACTAATGGTGGCATTTCTGAAGGTAATAGGTACAGTGACTGCCAGGTTTTAATAACGAGAAAATGCTTTTTTCTCAGAGACAGAGTCTCTTTCTATCACCTAGGCTGGAGTATAGCAGCACAGTCATAGCTGTGTGTAACCTGAAACTCCTGGGTTCAAGCGATCCTCCCACCCTCAGCCCCCCAAAAGCCCTGGGGTTATAGGCATGAGCCACTCCCTGAGAAAGTGCCTTTTTGATATTTTCCCCCTAAAAGTCAGTTGTGTTTATGATTATAGGCTTGTATCCAAGTAAATGCTGGAGTACAGTCCTCATGGAGTTGTAAAAGTGGCTTTTAAAATGTTGTATCTGTTACACTGCAACCAAATCTTCTGTAAACTGGCCAGATATGTATTTGTTATTTGGATCAGGTGAAATCTGATTGAGAAATTCAGGGATTCTGTTTCTGTACACGATTTAGCAATAGTAGTCTGCTCTGGTGAGAGTGGAAGGACTTTAGCCCTGAGAATGTAAGGGATACGTATTCCTGCATATATCTTCCACCTAGAAAACCATTCTCAGAGCCCAGACAGCAATGTAAATGAAGTGGCCAATTGCTGAGAGGGTTAGTTATGATTTTGGGGAAAGGACAAATTAAGGAGAATTTAAATGTCCAATTGTCAATTACCTTGATGCCTGAAACAACAGTGACCAGTGTTGAAGTTCATTATGCTGAGTATTAGTAGGACCGCACACACATACTAACAGCTCACAAAAGGAAACTCACATTTTTCCCCACCCCAGTCACCTTTGCATAATTGCCAAATTTGAGTGTCTTTATAAGCACCTGTTTTTCACTTATTTGTCCAAATCATGGGAACGTGCATGCAGTTTGCTGGCTTGTTTTTCTGGGGGGAAGTGAGGGATGTTAAGGTTGGGGAATGCTTTTTAGTCTGTGTGAGAGCTAATTACCATATTAACTCCATTTGAAAGTGCATCAATAAATTGGCTCCAACAGATTCTTAAGAACACTGACACAGGGGGAAAAAAAAGATGTGAATATTAAGCACTTCAGCACAATTGTAGCCTAAATAGCTCAAAGCTAGAAGACCTGAAAAAATCTTCTACACACAGAAAAGCAGAATCTCATGAAAGGGAAGGCATAAGACCAGCAAAGACACACAGGCCAAATGGCACATCATGCCCAGAATGAAGCCATGGGAGAAATTGTTGATTCAAAGTATTTCTCATGAAAGTAAAAACCCATAGCATTTCCAGATCTAAAGTCGCTATTTTTGTTTTTTTCTCTCTCTCTTTTATCCCATTCTCATCCCCACACCCAAATGTCAAGTTTGCAGTTCTCTTTTGCTAAATTGAATTTTTAAAGAAAGTTCGTGATCCTCTTCAATTTCCCCTATAATTCACTGTTTCTCCAGGCAAGGTAGTAGAATTTGCCATATGGTACAAAAAAATGTATGGTGACAGTGATCAAATTTTGCTGACTTTTCTACACACACATTGGGAATGGAACGCAGAAGGGCATGACCCTGCCACTATTTTGATACTCTAACATGTCTAGCAGCAGCCATAACTAAACTCATATCCTTATATTAAAATACAAATGCTCCTACGTATTTTTCCTAGAGTTTACAGGTCCATATCAAATCAAAACCATACTCTGGCTTTCTTAATTGACGTTTTAAATCAGTTACTCTGAAACAAAGAGGACTTAAGTTGCTGCTGTTCTTGTTGTGCATTTTTAAAACTACATTTGTTGTCTTTGAAGAAACAAAATTAAACCCAAGTAGAAGTTGATAGGATTTCTGAATCGATTTTTCCCTAGTTATTTTAAGTGATAACTTTTTGGAGGGATGAGGTATATAGTTGTATCTAAACTTTGTTTTTAATGGGTATACTATTCTTGATTCCTAATAAGCAGATATAAAAGACCAGGAGTAATAGACATTGTTAATCTCCAGTGCTTTTTCATGAATTTTTCACAAGGGTTTAATTAATCTGCTTTGTGGTTGTAGAATTCAGTCCCAATTTACATGCCTCTGCTGTAAATTCTTTTTTTATTTCTTGTCTCTCTCCTTTTTTTTCTCTTTGCAAGGAATTTTTCTTTCCCCTTTAAATGACTGCAGCTAATGAATGGTCAAGGGCTTTTCCCCCTTCTTTAAATCAGATCTTGGGGTTAAGTCGGGAAACTGCCTTTTGTTCTTCCAGTCAGGTCGTGAGGCTGAAGATGTGGGTTTCTGATTATTGGCAGCACAATGCAAAAGGAATCGCTTTCCCTAGTGAGAAGGGGATGCTTTGTTGCTGGGGGTGTTGGGGGAGACTCAGTGCCAGTGTCTTGAGCACTGAAATCATGCAGTTGGACTAGACCCTTTAAGAGACTAAGGATGAACCGGTTTTCCAAATCTGTCTTCTTGTTGCCATGCTCTTCCTCTCCTCTCTTAACTGCATCTGCAACTAGCCATGAATTGAGACCCTTTAGTAAATGTTGAAGTCTCGTCAACCTTTTATCAGGATGGATCCAAATAATTAAAACACCTTGGAACTTGGTTTTATAAGAGGCTGGTTTATATGAAACCTTCACTTGGAAAAACAAACCAAATATCTGCCTTGCCCCTACCAACAAAAGTCAGTTTCTGGAGAATCATAAATTATGCTAAAGTGCACCTTGTTCTCCATCACATACTGTAGCTGTGTTAACACTCATTTGACTCAGGGCCAACCCTATTAATGTCGCATGTTGCTGCCAGTGGGAATTTAGTATGGGGATTGCTGGCGGGGGCACCAGCCAGGTCCTGGCAGGAGCCAGTCGGATATCCCACAAACAAGGGCCCCGTGGCTCATATCAGCCAGAAGAAAACCCAAACTCCAAACCAGTCATCTTTGGCTTTCTCTTGAGGCTTCTTATCAGGGCTGGCTGCTGTTACAGAAGAGCCGATTGATAGCCAATCATGACTTCCTCCAGGGTTAGAGGCAGCTTTGGCTCCCGGGCTGCAGAATGCAGGCAGAGTGCTCTTCAGTTGCATTCTTCAGCTGCGCAGCATGCAACGCCATGGCACCGGCCCCAACAAAGGCCCAGCTTCCCCCTCCATTCCCAGGCCCTTGTGTATAGCTGGCTCGCTCAGAGTTTACAAAGACGCCAAAGAGCCAGAAGAATTGGGGTTTATGTTTCCTTTCAGTCTTTCACAAACACATTAGTGATCTGGCCATTCCTCGCCACTAGGGGAATAAGGAGATACAAAATGCACTGGGTGTTGTTGTTGTTGTTGTTTAAACGTATGCATTTTAGATGTTTATTATCTGTCTATTCATAATCTTTTTATTGGGAGCAGGTGATTTCTTCTCAGCTTATGGAGGAATGTGCTTTCTGTACATGGCAGCCCTGATGATTTGACAATGAAGAACACATTTAAGTTGTGCTCCACTTGTTTACAAAAGTCTCCTTTTGCTAGCACATCAAAAGCATTTTTTTCTCTCCTCTAGTACAATGGTATATTCATGCTTTCAGCCCTTACTTAGAGTTAGAAGCATCACTTGATTGGCGCTTACCACAATGCATTCTGAAACTTCATTTGTTATTACTGTTTTAAAAATTGCATTTCACGGAAATCTATTTGTGGTTTGTGACATCGGAATTGTAGTTTAGAGAAATGACCCCATGCATTCAAATGTTGTGTAGCATTTGTTCTAGGTTGAAGGTGAAAGGTTGATGACCAGATTTGGTTTCATTGATATGCTGATGCCTATGTTCCTTTCCACTAGAAAGCTTAGGTAGAAGCTCAGCTGGGGGCTGCAGTTGTCATCGGTTTTCTTTGGGAAGGGCACAATCTTCCGGAAACTAGCCCTTCTTTCTAGTAACCATCCTTGCACTACCTGAAGGTGATAGATAATGTTGGTCTAACTCCTTTCTTGCCATACACTAAGCACTAGAGTGTAAAGCGGGGATAAACAAGTTTAAAAGTTCACTGTTTGTCATTAATGAAGCATCCTTTTTGTCATTTGGGGTTTTCATTTCCAAGTTCTTCTAATTTTGTAAAACAGGTAGCAGGCAAAAATACTAAGCCTCATACTCCTTAGAAACATGTATGGCAAGAAAACAAAGACAATGTATTTTATTGAAGCGATTCAGTGCTTACTGGAAAATGCTAGACTACTCCAGAGTCTAAAGCAGGATAATCGGTGAAGATATATACTGTGAGCCCACTAATTTTGTATACTGTGTCTTGTGTCATCTTTTCACTTTGGAAAAAAAAAAAGGAGGTACATGCTTTAAGAGCAATTGAGGCCATTGTATTTGCAATGAGAAGTTTTTCTTAATACAAAAATTGGATTATTCAAAGTTTTATTATTTGAAAAGTCATTAGAATTCCTAGGAATCCTTTCATTTGTATTTTCCAACGGTGCACTCAAGGATCTGAGGGGTTTTGTTTTTAAAAATGAAAGAAAAGAATTAATATGCCAGCATCTTAACTGATTTGTTTTTGACTCTTATAAATGGAATGTGAAACGAAAAGATCCCAGGGAAGTCTCTGGGAGAACTGGCATGTTTTTTTGCCTCCAGCCTTAGGTTTGTCTTCTGGGAGCTAACTAAGCCTTACAGTGACAGTGGCTGACACACGAATAATCAGTATTGAGGAAAGTTCCTGATTTGGTTTCCTGCTGTAGAACTAAGCCTTCATCTGGCCATTTCACACTTCAGAGAGCTAGTGTTACATAGTGACTAAATGCAGTTTGGTGTAAGGGAAATAGATATAAAAACATAAAAACAAGAATTCATTATGATCCATGTCTTACTTCCCCCGCCCCCATGCAGGAAACAGGAAAAAGAATTAGATTGATTTACCCAAGGCCAAACTAATGATTGACTTTTTATGCTGTGTTGTTCTTCCCCAAACCTCATATTAGATGCTATGCTGATGGTGGCAGAAAGGCTAGAGGGTCCTTTCAACATTGAATCGGTCATGGATCCCATTGATGTGAAGATTTCTGATGCTATTATGAACATGCAGGATAATAGTGTTCAAGTGTCTCAGAAGGTAACGAAGGCAAGATGCTGGAAAGGGGAGCTGGGGAACTACCTCCCCCCTGCCCCGCCCCACGTTGGCATGTGACTTCCCTAACATGACTACACTTACTCCAATGCAGGTTTTCCAGGGATGTGGACCCCCCAAGCCCCTCCCAGCTGGACGAATTTCTCGTTCCATCTCTGAAAGTGCCTTCAGTGCTCGCTTCAGACCACATCACCCCGAGGAGCGCCCAACCACAGCAGCTGGCACTAGTTTGGACCGACTGGTGAGCATTTTGGCAGGAAGGGCCGTGTTTAATGACAATGAACTGAAAACTCTTCCTCAGAATGAATTTTTAGCTGGAAGGCTGACAAGTGTGGGTCTTTCGGGTGTCACTTTTCAAGCAAATAGGATGTGGATGTCTGTCAATCTGCCTGTCCCATTTTCTAGCTCAGAAAGTTCCTGGGTAGTCAAGGAGTTATGATGCAATAAGTCTTGTCTCAGAACTTCTCTTTAGATTCACCATGCATTTACTGAACATCTACTATGTGTCCATCACTGTGCTAGGCACAGAGAAGCTCAGAGAAATAAGGCAAATCCTTGTTCTCAAAAGGTACCAACAAGGAGGCAAAGAGGGAGAAGTAGATGTTCCAGGCTTATTAACATAAAATGATGTTTAGTAAATGCTGAGATGGGAGAAGAGTGAATAACTGTAGGCAAATTGCTTTATCCACAGTAATATGCTACAAAAATGTAAGAAAGTATTCCTACAGTAGTAGGAACACAGAAGAGGGAGTCTCCGGAGACAGGGATGGAGAGAAAGAGCAATAGCAGCTATGTTTCACAGAGTGCATAATATATGCGCTTGATCCTGACTCTAAAAGCCTTAGGAGAAGAGATTGCGTATTATCTTTGTGCCTACAGGGCATGGAACCTGGTAGGCCTCAGATGGTACTTACAATGAGGTGCACGAGGGATCTAGGCCACTCCTTTTGGAACTTGCATTTCAACTATTCATTTGAGTGGTTTTGTACTTCTAAGATATAAATTGGAGTTGCATCTTCCTCTTCTAACTAAAGTTGAAAATGAATTGCATATCACTCTGGAGATACTTTGGAAATGGCCAGAAGGCATATTTGTAGGTAGTTTTGTCTTGTCTTACAATGATCCTTTTTTTGTTGTTTCATAATTAGGTTACTGATGTCAAGGAGAAACTGAAACAGGCCAAGAAATTCTGGTCCTCCCTTCCGAGCAACGTTTGCAATGATGAGAGGATGGCTGCAGGAAACGGCAATGAGGATGACTGCTGGAATGGGAAAGGCAAAAGCAGGTTAGTGTCTGTTGAATGAATTTGAAGTCTGTCCCTTCCTAGATGCCTGGGTGACCTTCAGAGAGGGTTCTCGCAATTGTCAACTGAGGCATCAGGAAGCAATTCACAGTAGGTAGCAACAACATGGAAGGCTTCTAGGCATTCTTAGGAACAGGCTTTGCACTGGGAGTGTTGAGAAGGCACCCAGTTACTTACAAAGAGTGCTGAGTCAAAAGTTTGACAGTAGTTATAGTCTCGTATTAGGGCCGTTCCAATAGTGTCATTATTTTAAAAATATTTAATGCCCGTTGCTGTTTGCCCAATGGCCTAGCCTAATAAATAACCATTTCTCAAAGCTTCTATTCTCTGACTTGATGCCCTGTGTCCCTCCCTTAGACACTCAATAAGTTAGAGAAGTACCCATACTTCTGTTTGTTTGTTTGTTTGTTTGTTTGAGATGGAGTCTCACTCTTTTGCCCAGACTGGAGTGTAGTGGCACAATCTTGGCTTACTGCAACCTCCACCTCCCAGGTTCAAGCAGTTCTCCTGCCTCAGTCTCCTGAGTAGCTAGGACTACAGGTGCCTGCTACCATGCCTAGCTAATTTTTTTTTTTTTTTTTTTTTTTTTTTTTTTTTTGTATTTTTAGTAGAGACGGGTTTTCACCGTGTTAGCCAGGATGGTCTTGATCTTCTGACCTTGTGATTCACCCTCCTCAGCCTCCCAAAGTGCTGGGATTACAGGTGTGAGCCACCACGCCCAGCCAGTACCCATACTTCTTTACTTCAACCCACCAACCTCCTCAAGAGGGATAGCTTCCTTCCTTCCTTCCTTCCATCCTTCCTTCCACAGAGTATCACTGTCAACCTGCTAGAATGCAGTGGTGAAATCTCAGCTCTCTGCAACCTCACTGCAATCTCAGCCGCTGGAATGCAGTGGTGCAATCTCAGCTCACTGCAACCTTTGCCTCCTGGGTTCAAGTTAATTTTCTGTGTCAGCCTCCTGAGTATCTGGGATTACAGGCACACACCACCACACGCAGCTCATTTTTATATTTTCAGTAGAGACAGGGTTTCGCTATGTTGGCAGGGTTGGTCTTGAATGCCTGACCTCAAGTGATCCACCCACCTCAGCCTCCAAAAGTGCTGGGATAGCTTTCAAGAAGGTTTCCATCAAATTGGAGAAATGAAGAATCCACAGGAACAAGAAAGATTAGAGTTCATTAGGAATTGAAGAACTTCCATCTAATTTTGCTTAGTGGAAATACTATAATCTAGCAGAAATATTTGATAATCTCTTGTATAATCTTGATAATCTTCAAGCCTGTAATCCCAGCACTTTGGGAGGCAGACAGATAAAATCTTTTTGCTTTACAAATCTTCTTACTGGGGTCATTTTACATTCCAGGTACCTGTTTGCAGTGACAGGAAATGGATTAGCCAACCAGGGCAACAACCCAGAGGTCCAGGTTGACACCAGCAAACCAGACATACTGATCCTTCGTCAAATCATGGCTCTTCGAGTGATGACCAGCAAGATGAAGAATGCATACAATGGGAACGATGTGGACTTCTTTGATAACAGTAAGCATTTGTGGTTTGAAAGAACAAATTGCTCTTGTATGCCTTCTGATGAGAACAAGTGGAATGAAATCTCTATTCCATTTTTTTTAAACTAGGTGATGAAAGTAGTGGAGAAGGAAGTGGAAGTGGCTGTGAGTATCAGCAGTGCCCTTCAGAGTTTGACTATAATGCCACTGACCACGCTGGGAAGAGTGCCAATGAGAAAGCCGACAGTGCAGGTGTCCGTCCTGGGGCACAGGCCTACCTCCTCACTGCCTTCTGCATCTTGTTCCTGGTTATGCAGAGAGAGTGGAGATAATTCTCAAACTCTGAGAAAAAGTGTTCATCATCAAAAAGTTAAAAGGCACCAGTTATCACTTTTCTACCATCCTAGTGACTTTGCTTTTTAAATGAATGGACAACAATGTACAGTTTTTACTATGTGGCCACTGGTTTAAGAAATGCTGACTTTGTTTTTTCATTCAGTTTTGGGAGGAAAAGGGACTGTGCATTGAGTTGGTTCCTGCTCCCCCAAACCATGTTAAATGTGGCTAACAGTGTAGGTACAAGAACTATAGTTAGTTGTGCATTTGTGATTTTATCACTCTATTATTTGTTTGTATGTTTTTTTCTCATTTCGTTTGTGGGTTTTTTTTTCCAACTATGATCTCACCTTGTTTCTTACAAGCAAACCAGGGTTCCTTCTTGGCATGTAACATGTACGTATTTCTGAAATATTAAATAGCTGTACAGAAGCAGGTTTTATTTATCATGTTATTAAAAGAAAAAGGCCAACAAGCAGTAAAATTTCCATTTCTCCCTGTTATTTTAGTTGCCTTATCTGGAGAGACGTGGAGGTGATTTTCTTTTTTTAAATTATTATTAAGTTAGGACAGAATGTGAGGACACGAGCAGGCTTCTGAGCCACTTGTCAGATTGTATTCAAAGCATCAATCCAAGAAGGTTATACGTACTTCATTTATAGGTGGTAATTGGAAGAGACTGCAGACTACTGCTTTGAATGAGTTGAATTACATAAGCTAAGATCACTGTGGGTCCATTTCTTGAACCCACTTATATATAAACTGTAACCCATTTAGAAAAAGATTCTGGATATCCTCCCCCTTGAAGGATAGAAGGCGTTCAGGATGTCCCAGTTATCACATGTTCACACTTGGATTTGGGGGTGTTTTTTAAAAACCAGGCAGGTTAGCTAGCCCACCGTGTGCTAGTTTTCATGTTCACACTGACCCTATTTGAATTAATATCCCAATGGCAGCAATAAGTGACCAACAATCTCACTTGATCCCCCTTGTTAGAGTGGTCCAGATTTCAAACCCAACTATGTACAGGGAGCTGTCTGGGAGCTAGCCAGAACTGGGATACAGTCTGGGCTCAGGGAATAGCTGTCAACACTCAGGCAAAGTTTTTGTCTGTGCATGTGTATCTCCATTTGTTTTGGGATCCCAGTTTTTGTTTTAAGAGAGTATAAGGTGTTTCATTTGAGTCTTTTTCTTACCCGGCCCCCTCTTAACAGTAAAACAAAGGACTTGCCATGGTTCACAGCAATGTGCTGCGATCCAAGATATCAGCCAAGGAGCCCACTTAGGGGAGAACTAGGTGTCCAGATTTTTGTACGTGTTGTTTTTCTTCAGGGGTGGGGCGGGGTGGGAGTAGGTAGAGCTGGGAAGACTACATCTTAGCAGTGACCTTTAGCCATGTGGGTGAAGTGGCAAAGGCCATGGCCATATCTGTTGTCCCAGGCCAAAGACTAACAACTGTCTTGGCCCCTTGGGAATCCCTTCCTTGTGTCCTTACCAAATGATAGCTCATAAAACTCTGATAATGTAACAAATCACTTTCAAAGGAGTTCCCAGAAGTCTTCAGAAAGACTAAAATTCTGTAAGTCTCTTCCTGCTTTAGACAGCCATTAAGATCCTAACTAATTTTACTGAACCTAAAACCCACAAAGAGGTTGTTTGTGTTATTGTTCAATCTTCAGTTGTAAGAGTAATTCTCTATTTTTATATTGAAACATAATTACTTGATAGCTCAGGGTCTACATTTCATTCAACTTTTTACACCAAATTCTGCAGAGTGGTCAAAATGGAATATTGGGGGCTGTTGTAAACAGAGGCTTAATTTTATTAGAAGTAGTCAGTTATTTATTAAAGCATGATGTTAATAAAATAGGCATATTCTGGCTGGTGTGTATAAGTGTTTTTTTTTAAACAAATCACAGAAGACATAAAATTGAAAAGGCACTCCATTTATATATGAGGGAAAATAGACTGTAAATAGCTAAGGGGCCTTGTGAGAACTTGGAAAATGTGCTGATACTTAGTAACTACCTCAGTTGTGAGGAATTTCCTTTTTAGCTTAGACTGCTATTACTTTTACTTGGTAGAAATGAATCTGGTCTCCAAAATATGGCTCAGAGAGTTATCCCCATAGACCTTGTTAGATTGTTTTTAATTTAAAACCTTGAACTGTGCCCAGTTGTTTTCTTCCAGTCAAGTTCTCTAAACCAATAACATTTTCCGAATTAAATATTCCTGAAGGTTCTTCTGGTCTCTTACTGATTTGTTTTCTTTCTTTGCATTTTTTCCTGTTACTCTTTTATTATTTAAATTATCTCTTGTTTTTGAACTTCAACTATGAAATAAACAAATCATAGATTTTTCCATTCAGGTCTGACTGGATAACTGTTGGCTTCTAACCAGCTGGCAAGCTCACCCCCACTCCCCAAAAAAGAAGAAAGGCAAGTTGAATATTTTAAAACCTTAAGAGTTTGGAGTATGAGGTAGAATAAAAGCCTTGTTAGGAGAAGACCTGAGTTTTCCAAAGTTAACAGCATGTGAAGGGCTTGTGTTTTACAAAGTCATTTATAAATTATTTTTCTTTAAAACACGTCACCTACTCTGTACCTTAAAGAAACATTTTACAACTCTTAGGTTTATATTTTATTTCAAAAATCGTAACTAGCACCTGTTATTTTGATTAAAAGACACTGTGAAGAATTGACATAAATTTCTAAAGTTTAGTTACTGAGTGTTCAAAACCTAACAGTTCACATGAAGTAAAAATTGTCATTTGTGATTACAGAATCAAAATAAAAATAGGTGTGAATGGTGCTACACAAATTTCTGCTTCCCCTTTGTTAGCAGAATATGTCTATTTACATAGCTAAAGGGTAGTAAGTTATTAGGTTACTGCAAAAGTAATTGCAGTTTTTGCCATTACTTTCAATGGCAAAATACAGTTATCTACTAGAGGAGGGTGTGTGTGTGTGTGTGTGTGCGCGCGCGTGCGCGCGCGCGCGCACGCACATATAATGTCACTGCTAAGCCAAATGTAACTTTTTACCTTTTTTGAAACAACAACAAAGTACTCACAAAATTCTTCTGACTTTGAACTTCATGGGGAAAAATATAACTGCATGCCGTGATACACTTCACAAACTCAGTTTCTACTTTTTAACTTCTAAAATTCTTCTAAAATTCCTTTTTATGTATGTGAAAAATACCTGAGAGATGACATTTGGTAACAGGAATTCTATTCCATCAATGAGCCAAATGCCAAATAATATTTACTGTGTACATAGTTTTAAATTAGGTAGTATATTGACAGGGTTTAAAAAACAGAACATATATCAAGAGACTGAGTGAATTTTCCTCCCATTCCTGCTTCCATCTGCCAAGTTGTCCCCACACCCTAAGTAAGCTCTTACTAGTTATTTATGTATGTCTTCTTCCAAAGTTTATTTATGCATATACAAGCAAATATGAATAGAAATTTACTCCTTTTTGTCATATAAAAGGTAGAGTTTTTTTGTTTTTTTGTGTTTTTTTTGTTTTTGTTTTTTGTTTTTTTTTTGAGATGGAGACTCCCTGTGTCCCCAAGGCTGAAGTACAGTGGCGCAATCTCAGCTCACTGCAACCTCCACCTTCCGGCTCAAGCAATCCTCCCATCTCAGCCTCATGAATAGCTGGGATTACAGGTGTGCGCCACCACATCCAGCTAATTTTGTATTTTTAGTAGAGACAGGATTTCACCATGTTGGCCAGGCTGGTCTCGAACTCCTGGGCTCAAGTGATACTCCCACCTCGGTCTCCCAAAATGCTGGAATTGCAGGCATGAGCCACTGCACCCATCAAAAAGGTAGTATTTTATGCTTATAATGTCCTATTTCTTTAGGTTAATGTTTTGAATATTGAGAATAGGAGACTCTGAGGATACAGCTCTGTAATTAAGTTTAGGATTCCTATTCTAAAGGCATGGCTTCTCAGTAGTAGCACATTTTGTGTTTTACTGCATTTTGGCCCAGATTAATTTAAGTAGTTTTACAAGAAACAAGCATTGAATAGAGTGAGGAATAATTTGGCATTATAGTACTATAACCCCAGAGTGTACAATTTGAATGCTCTCTGTTTTTGTTAAGGTTTACTTTTGGGAGTTTGTTTTCATATCATCGCCGGTGCAGAAGACATTAGCCAAAATAGTTTGGAAGATCCTCTCAGAATACAGCATGTTAGTACCACAGTTCATGCTTCGAAATGCTTCACAGGACCTGCTGTGACCTGGAATTTACTCATGTTCTATTAGAATAAAGTATTCTCTTTTTTTGAGACAGGGTATTACTCTGTCACCCAGGCTGGAGTGCAGTGGCGCCATCAGAGCTCACTGCAACCTTGGACTTCTGTACTTGAGTGATCCTCCCACCTCAGGCTCCTAAGTACCTGGGACTACAGGCATATGCCACCATACCCAGCTTTTTTTTTTTTTTTTTTTTTTTTTTGGTAAAGACAGGGTATCGCCATGTTGCTCAAGCTGACCTTCAATTTCTGACTTCAAGCAGTTCTCCTGCCTTGGCCTCCCATGGTGCTGGGATTACAGGCATGAGCCACCACACTGGCCTAAAAGTACTTTTAATGCTTTCAAAAGCCCAGATGCCTTGCAGCAGCATCAGCCACCACACAGAATGGAGATGAGGGTACTAGGAAAATGTGTAACTAGACCCTAGGTTACTGCGTCCAATGGTTCAGTCATTAGAATATGCAAATAAATTTTTCCAACTTCAGTTTTCTTGTGAAGTCGAATTTTTATGAATCAGTGTTTGAGAGACTTCTGAGTTCAGTAAAATCTAAAGAAATCAGTTCCTCAGCATGAGCGTCCACATGTGCAATTAAATGTACATTCTACTCTACTTTTGACATTTCTTAAATGTTAGGAATTCTGGAAACAAAAGCACAGTGTTGTTGGAAAGACAAAGATCTTCACGCATCAATCCTAGGTAAAAGCTGATGAAAGATAACGAGTGTGTTTAAAGAGTAAAGATAAAGGTATATGTGTGATGACCCCAGGAGGCTTTTATGATCCTGTTCTCTGGTCTTTGAGGAAGCCTTTGGCAGCAACTTTGTTGCCACTCCATGTTATTCTTAATTCCTGTGTTTCTTGCATAGTAGGATTAGAAGATATGTGTGTGTGTGTGTGTGTGTGTGTATGTGTGTACGTGTACACAGACCTACCCACAGAGAGATTTATTGAGTAATTGTGTATTTTCAAACACTAAATACCAGGTAGATCTTACCCTGTCACTTATGGGCTGCCTTCCCATGGCTGTCAGTGGGGTGTGCTTGGGGAATGTAGACTCATTTTAATAACAGCCTAAGGGAAACATAATTAAGAAGGTAAGTCTCCTGCCAAGAAAAAGAAAATACACATATATAAAATGCATACCAGAGACCAAATAGAATTT